CTGTAGAAACCTTGATGATTCATACAGACTGACCCAAGTCATTGGAAGGGCTGGCCCCTGTGCCGTTGTTGGGGAGCCATTTAAGGTATGATTAGAAGGGAAGATCCAGGATCCTTCATTCCCACTGTTGGAGAGAAGATCTTCTGGCAATTAGGGTGATAGGAAAGTGTTTTTTCACCCCATGATCATTGCAAGTTAGAATGTACTGCTGGGCATATCCTGGCCTTCGAAAGAAAAAAAAAAAAGCACAAGTAACTGGTTAACACCAAGTATAAATGCCACTGCTGTCCCCATACAAGCTTGAAGAATATTTTTAATGTCTCATGATTATGTCCTGTTTGTCTATATCACTGTCACATATTAGACTGTGAGATGCAGATTCCAGAGAAACACACACTGAGAATGCTGCAAATTCAGGCATCAGGTTGTTTCTATAAGACATGTAGGGAAAACCTGACAGAAAGTAGGTATGTCTGCTGCTGAGACCAATGACTCCAAAGTCTCACCAGATCGAAGATCAAATGAGAAGGTAGCCTGAGACAAAAGCAAGCCAAGGAGATTACCCTGGGATGGATGTGTGCTTTGGAATGAGAGGGACCCCAAGGAGCTATTTAATTCTTCCTTCTGCATGTTTCCCAGCTAGCCCTAAATCACACAAGAAGCCCCACCCATAAGGGGGAAAGTGGCAGTCCTAGCAAGCGTACCCTCGACCATGCTTAGTTGATGGGCTCCCAGGACCCTTGCCTGTTCTGAACCCTCACCTCTGTCTCTCCACCTGATCCTCTAGATTGACTCTGGTTGACTGTCTATCTTGTAAATTTGACTTTGAGAGGGAAATTCATCTTTCCAAACACCTCCTTGTACCCCTGACTAAGAAGAGAAGTCCCGCCTCACCCTGGATCCCCTGCCTTTATCTCTTCCGTTGGCCTCTGGCCTCTAAAGTGCCAGGGCCCCAGGGTGGTGACTATAATAAAGAGCTAGTCAGATAAAAGTGCCACATGACCACACAGCTTGCCAGGAGTTGGGAGCATAAGTCCACCGTCCTAGGGCCCAGGCAGCACAAATGAGGTCAACAAGGATGGGGGAGTTTCTAGGGTCAGTGTGGAGATGTGAAACAAAGAACAAGCTGTGGGTAGATGTCAGGAGGTGTTCCTAAGGTCAAAACAGAGGAAACAAGTCCTCACAAAGCCACTCAGCAAACCCAAGCACAGTGGAACTTGGGGAGACCATGTAAGGCATACGGCAGAGGTTCTGAACCAGAGGAGGAAATAGAAGACACTGTTCCAGCTGTCTTTGTGCAGGGGGAGACAGCACTAATTTTTCATGACAACGTGGTCCTCTTGCACTCCATCCATTTAGAACTATAGATTGTGGTCTAGTAGGCATAGGGTCTGTCCCACCTCAAAGGACTTGACAGGGAAAGAAATTAGAAGAAGCTTTACCTCCTATGAAATGTAAATGAGAAGAAATAGAAAACAAACAAGTAAATAAATGAACAGTTGGACTTAATACAAGAGTGGTGAGTTATAAAGTAAATAAAATAGAAATGATGTGGTAGAGGAGAAGGTCTAATTAAAAGTTGACAGTGGGAAGGTCTCACAAGAAGGTATATTTGATATTCAGCTGAAGTGACAAGAAGCAGCAGAAGCTTTAAGTTTGGAGACAGTGTCCAGAAAGACAGAGCAGCTCATGCAAATATACTAAGGTGGAAATCAGGTTGGGAGTGTTCAAGGAACACAAAGGCCTATGTTGCTGGAGCATCATGTTGAAGATGAGAATGTGAAGAAGGCAGGAAACAGTTTTAGAGGGCCAAGAGGTCACTGCAGGGAGTTTGGATTTTACCTGAACTCTGAAGAGAGGCTATTATAGGGTTTTGAGCAGGAAATGACATACACCAAATTATAACATTAAAAGGAATTCAATTATGAGGCTGTTGCAACAGTCCTGCCTGGAGATGCAGAGAATGTGTAAGATAAAGCTGAAAGGTTGGTGGTGAAGTGGGAGTGAAAGGGAGGAGTACAATATGACTCTAAGGTTTTGTCTGAACAAAAGTAAATTGAGTATATTTTTTTAGAGAAGAGGAAGACCAGACAAAGCAGGTTCAGAAAGAGATCAAGACGTCTGTTTTTATCAGATTAATTAGAGGTAGCTATTAAACTCTGCAATAGCAGTGATATGTTGGAAACTGGATACCTGAGGTGCTGGGGAAGGAAAGTCTAGAGTCTGGTCTGTATCAACAAGCACACTGCTCTCTCCCTGCACTGGTAGACCTCTCTAGCATATCAGTTCCAGGCTTCTCCAGTATATTCTGTAGCTGCCAAATAAGAAAGCAGAAGACTGAGTTGGTGAAAACCTGTAGAAAACAGAAGCTGACTGGGACTGTAGGAACTGAAAGATCTAGTTCCCATCCAAATTTTCACCTCGCTGGATTTTTTTTTCTTTTTTTTTTTTTTAAAGATTTATTTATTTATGCATACAAGAGCTGGGTACAGGCCAGAGCTGCAGGGGGTGAGAGGATTCACCAGAGTGGGGAACAGAACAAGCAGACTGATTGAAATACATACTATATTGTAAAGGTACCCTATGGTCTGAATGTTTGGGTCTCCCCAAAATTCATATGTGGAAATCCTAACTCCCGGAAGAGATGATATTAGGAGGTGGGAACCATGTAGGTGATAGCTGTTGAGGGTGAAGGCTCCATGAATGGGATGAATGCCTTTATAAAAGAGGTTCCAGAGAGCTCATTTGTCCCTTCCACCATATGAAGGTACAACAAGTCTTCAACCCAAAGAGGGCCCCCACCTGCCCATGCTGGCACCCTGATCTCACATTTCTCACCTCCAAAACTGTGAGAAATAAATTTCTGCTGTTAATAAGTCACCCAGTCTGTGGTTTTCTGTTATAGCAGCCCAAATTGATGAAGACAATATATGCAGTGATTTAACCTTTGGAAGATCTGCAGAACTCAGTAAACCAATATTTTCCAATGACCAATACATGACATTGTAAAATCATGCATGGGTAAAAGAGCCATTCAAAGCACAAGAGTGACCAATGGATTTCAGTAGAACAGACTGAAAATACATCGACATGGTTTCAGTTCCCATACTACAACTAACCTCTCAGAAACTATCTTTTGTCAAATTTTTACATGGTAAGGGTCATCTAAACGCTCTCTCTTTTTCCAACTACATACCTTATCCATGTGAAGCTGAATTATCACATACTTAGACACAACATTTACCACAGTATGAAAGCCAGATGGTAGAGATTTGCAATGTTGCTTTTAAATGCTACTTTTCTCCTTACTTTTTGTTTTGGAAATAACTTTTTTAATTTTATTTAAGTAACATTGGTTTATAATATTATAGGCTGCAGAAATGGAATAAATTTTCATAAAACTTTGTTATTTATGTTAGCATGTACTGGGCTTTATTTTTAACTTACAAATAAGTATATAAGATATACTAAAACTTTTAAAACTAGGTTTTAATTTCAAACCTAGTAAACAGTGATAGATATACCCCACATAAAGGAAAGCTCCTTGGAGTTCTCAATTAATTTCAAAGGTTTAAATGGGTTCTAAAGTCAAGAGCATATTTAGGGAAAGAAATCAATGTTAGTGAGATACTACCGGAAAAGACTGCAGAAACCAAGAAAGTAAAACACATTCCCTCCCTCACAATTTCCTAACTAGCAAGTTGCAACAATTTAGCCCATTGCAATACTATGCTTTATGAGTCACGAGTAACTCTAAAATTCTTTCTGAGTTCTTTCAATGTGGCTTTTTTGAAGAACGCTCATGGGAAGCTGGATGTTTGATCCAAGACGCCATGACCCACAAACCTGCAGACACCTGTTGCTCACTTCCTCTTTTGTAGATGACAAAGGCAAGAAGCAAAACCATGTCCTAGCTTTGAAGTCTTCACCCACCAGCAAGACTGTCACAGACATGATTTCTCTCAATGTGGCAGCCCTGGGTCCTCTGCCAGTTCCGTGACTGTGTCTTTGGCTCTCTTTCTGCCTCCTGCTGCTACCCTTGTATTATTTCATGAATGTATCTTTGGAGTTAGAATTCAAAATATGAATTTGGCGGGAACACATTTAGAATATAACATTTAATTTATCAATCCTCTCTTTCGTGAATTGTGCCTTTGATGTATCTAAACCCATCCCAATCCAAACTGGATAACCTCGGATTTGAGTATCATTACCAAGCTCAAGGTCATTCAGATATTCTCTCATTGTCTTCTAGTTCTATGGTTTTGTGTTTTATCAGAAATATCTAATGAGCTTGCTTTGTTTTCTTTGTAGTTTAGCTGTGAACTGGCAATCTCTCAGATGGAATCTAAGCTTCTTAAGAAAGGACTGAGAGGGTTCTTCATGGTTCTGCTCCTAGCATCTAGAGCAATATCTGTACAAAGTAAGCCTTCAAAAAGCATCTGTGAATGAGCAAGTGAATGATTAAGTTGGAGGAAATTCTCCTACATCCATATGTTTTCTAAAGATAAGAAAACAGTGTGCGTCTACCTGAAGACAAAACCTTATTCTCCCCTGAAAATCCTGCTGCCTGTGGAAATCAAAGACTAAGGAAGGGGGTTCCTTTCAAGCAAAGCGAACTTCCTGCCAAAACCTCCACAGAGTGGGGGGAAATCTGCAGAGCTGGCTATTTTGTTGGTGAAGGGCATAAAGATTGGAGAGATAGGACAGAAAAGGAAAAATTCAAAAAGGAAAAAACTTAAAATGATATCTGCGAAGATTGCCCCCATACCCACAGTGAAGGTGTTCTGGGAGGTTCCTGACAGCAGAGTGATGGCAGGGTGGAGAGCAGCCTGCCTTTCACACACACAGGTGCTGGCGTCAGCACAATTAGCCAGCCGGCCTTGTTCCTGGTGCTGGACTCCTGTTTAAACAGGACCTGGCCTTCAGGCAACCACAGGGCGGGGGAGTCTGCACGGTGAGGGAGAACCCTGCTCCTTCTTAAGCGCCAGCAAGTCAAGCCAGGGCTAGAAAGCCATCCAGCCGGCAGCCCCTAGCATCTACACCTGGCCTCCAGCGCTGGGGGAGCCCTGACTGCACCCTGCTACCACCCCCAAATTCCCCATGGCTGACCAACTGACGGAGGAGCAACTGGCTGAATTCAAAGAGGCCTTCTCCCTGTTCGACAAGGACGGGGACGGTATGATCACCACCCAGGAGCTGGGCACCGTCATGCGGTCCCTGGGCCAGAATCCCACAGAGGCAGATCTGCAGAGCATGGTGAGCGAGATCGACCGGGATGGCAACGGCACCGTGGACTTCCCCGAATTCTTGGGAATGATGGCCCGGAAGATGAAAGACAGGGACAGTGAGGAAGAGATCCGGGAGGCCTTCCGTGTGTTTGACAAGGATGGCAACGGCTTTGTCAGTGCAGCGGAGCTGCGACACGTGATGACAAGGCTCGGGGAAAAGCTGAGTGATGAGGAGGTGGATGAGATGATCCGGGCAGCGGATGTGGATGGGGACGGGCAGGTGAACTACGAGGAGTTCGTGCGCATGCTGGTGTCCAAGTGAGGCCTGGGGTGGAGTGCTGCCACCTCCCCTGGGAGGGCCAGCCTCACTTTGTTGGGGACATGCCTCTGGCTGCTACAAGTGTTTCAGACCCGGCCTGGCTTCCTCCCTCCTCCAGCTTCCTCTGGACACTGTTTCTTCGCAGCTAAGGTTGATTCCATATGCCTCTCTGCATCTCTCTTTCCCATCTGGTCAACCTTCCCCCTGCCCTCTTCTCATCCACAATGACACAAGCTGCTCCTAAGCCAGCAAGCCTTACGTCCCTCAGGGGTAGAAGTGACATCACTGAATGAACAATGAGCAGAAGGACTGTAAATGTTGCACTGACTCCAGAAGGTGCCATCAGGAGGGCACAATGTGGCATCATAGAGCCCTCCGGGCAGGACCCCTGCAAGGCACCAGGCTCTGAGACCAGGGTGGCCGTAAGCTCCCAGTGCACAGGGGAATCTGGGCTTCATCTATTATTGGATTCTGGGTTGGGACAAATCTCGGCCCCAGACTGAGGGGTGTGATGGGGACTTAAATCATTTGGATCGGGCCTCCTGAGAAACACCACTGCCCTTCCACCCAGTGCTTGCCTATTCCCTCTGTCTCTGCCAAACTGCTATGATTCATCTTTTGAAGCTGCAAGTAAAGCTGGGGTCAGTTCTAACATGTTTATGTTTATCCTTATGGTGGGAACGTTGAATCAAAGGGAGAGGGGAAACTGCAGGGGCATAAATAAATAGCTTGTGTTGTGTTCCTATTATGTTTCTTTCTTTTCTTTTCTTTTCTTTTTTCTTTTTTTTCTGGTTCTGACTGAAATGATCCTTGTTAATCCAGTATTTAAATGAGACAGGAATCTCCATTTTTTGTGTGCTTTTGAAAATGCAATGGAAGCTTGTATTGGTGGGCCAGCGAAAGAAGTATAGATTATATAGATTAAATACTGTATATTTACTGGACCTGTTGGTAGTAGATTAGTTAAAAATGCATGAGATGCTTGGGATTTGGGAAGACACTATAGTCTTGTTTGCCCCCAAAGGGCCTTACCAGAGGTTTGGTTCTGAAAGGGAGGTGTCACTTGTGGGTGGAGTCCACGTGGGGCTCACCAGAAATGCTCCATGGTGCTGAGACGGCCACAAGGCAGCCAGCCCATCCTAGATTGGTGCTTTTCCATGCCCCCCTCGCCACCCTCATATTTCCTCTCCTGTAAAACTAAGAACGTGGGCTTCGGGTATATACAGACTGGGCTTTCATCTGCCTGACTGTGCTCAAATTATGGTCGTCTCCATGAGGACAGCAGACACGCAGCCCTTCCTGGGAGTGGCTCAGCTGGAAGCACCTGCAGTCACAGTGCTTCCCAGCATGTGGGGGAGCTACTCTTAGCAGAGAAAGTTGAGAGCTTCAGAAAACAGTGCCAGATCCCCCACTGGTGGTGACCGAACTGGCCTTAGGACCAAGTCTCTACTGATCACTCACAGCTTCTCCAGGTCCCTTTGCCTCCACGGTGACCCAGTGATTAGAAGAGGGTCACTCTCGGCATTAGTGAGGACTGGAAATAATATTATTACGTCCGGCACGCACTGGGTGCTTAGTGAGACTAGATGAGGGTGCAGAAGGGACAAGAACTGAGAGGAGAGACAATGGTGGCATCTCAGATGGGGTCTGGTCCCAGTGCGATGCTATTTTAAAGCTTCTTTCCAGTGGTGGAAGAGGTGACAGTGGGCTTTGCTGGCTTGGCCCGTTTGGGCTAATCCTCCCTGCAGCCCTCAACAGTGGGGGCTGGGAGGAAACTTGAGGCCAAACCCCACGAATGCTGGACAGAGAGACTGGATGTCACTGGACTGCAGCTCCCTCAGCAGAAGAGCAGCTTTAGAGGTTCTTCATGGCCCCACCTGGCACAAGAAACATGGACACATTTGACCCAGGGACAAATAAGATTCCCATCTGAGTGTCTTTCATGGGTGTCTCCTAGGTGCCACAGAGGGAAAGAAGCAGAGATAAGAAGGGGGTGGGCTCAGTCTCCCTTCCCAGCAGTGTGCACCAGTCCTGTAGCCACACACTTGTTTTTTGGGAGATTTGGCGTTTAGAACTTTCTTTCCACAAGTGCTGCTAATACTCCTGCTAGCAGAGAATTTGTGCTTTCCACCAGCCTACCAGGCAGTTATCCAAGGCAGATCATCCTGTAATTGGACATATCGCAGCCTTTTAACAGGCTTTAGAGTTGTTTGTGGGAAATGCTTGGGGTCCAGGCAGGAACCAGGCATGTTATGGAAGACGTCCTGACAAGCCTCTGACCCTCCCTTAGATGTTACAGTGAAGGATGGGAGCCCAGGAAGACTAAAACAGATGTGACAACAGGTCTCTGATCCAATCCTGGCGTGTCCACCACTGCTGTCCTGACACGGGGACTCAGGTAAAAGACACATTCCTTTGGGGCTTTCAGATTGGTAATAAATGGAGTCTCTGCTATCTATGTGAGAAATATGATGAGGTCACAGAGTTGAACATGCTTCCTTTCTTCCCTTGGCCTTATTTTTCTGAACACAATTTTTTAAAAACATTTTCCATCATCCGTTCTCATTCACACAGGTCATTAGCCTGCTCAGCCATGTGGCTGGGCCCCCTCCAAACCTGATAGGTTAGGGTTGAGGGGCATCAGGCCCGAGAGATGCAGCTGGGCCAGTGCTCTGGATTCAGGGGGAGTCCCCTGCCTTGACAGGTGGCCAGAAGCCACACCCCCTTCCATTATAGACTTCCATGCCAGGTCTCAGACACTCCAGACCTAGCGAGCCCTGTCACACGCCAGCCTCCTCCCACACCCCACTCCTTTCACTCTTCTTCCTCCCTACACTGGCAGGACCTGTGCTGTCCCCAGACACCAAGACAGGTACTTTATTCATAAAAATTGGTCATCATAATTGCCAGGTCCAGGGCTCTGGAATTGGTGAGTAGAGAGGGGAGGCCTGGAGGCCAGAAAGGAGCCTCCAAATAACCCCTAATCGTAGAAGACTGTGAGGGTGTGAAGGAGGAACCGGCCTGCAACTCAGCACTTCCTGTGCCCTGTGTCTTCTGGAACAAACTTGCAGGCCTAGCTCTTTACCCATATTTCCTTTCTCTCCCAGTCACTGAATAATTTGGATTTAACCTCTCTACATCCCCCAAAAAGGCACGATCTGACTGCCGTTCCAAAGAGCATTCCATCCATCCTGACAAAGGAATGCGTAAATATTACCTCGGCTTTCATGTGCTCTCACCAAGCTGCTCATAAATCAACGCTCAGGGCTCCTGGACCTCCCAGACTATATAAAGCCGCTCCTCTGGCTCCTGTGTTTCCAATTTTAAATCAAACACCACCCAGCCCCGCCGGCTCCTGTTTATCCTCACAGATTCCAGGGACCGTTCAAAGCCTCCCTGAACCAGCCAGCTAAAAATGACTCCATTGTTCTTGCTGCAGAAATTTAAAATTAAAGCTTATGTATGAGCTAGAGATTGCACCGTGATCGGTAGAAGCAATGGGCAATCGAGGTGTGTTTCTCCCCCAAAAAGTGAAGCTGAATGGGGTGGGGAATAACTATCTCTGAGAAGGTCTGGGCCCCCACACCTGCCACCCTACCCTCCATCCTGCTTTTCTGGTGGTTGTTTCTGTAGCAGCCAGGTTCTCAGACTGGAGCCTGGAACAGCCCCAGGAGGGCAGGGGCCTGGAACTGGTGAATGGCCTTCAGTAAGTCCCTCCCACCAGGGACTGGAACACTGAGCACCTGCCCCCGATTGAGGGGTGGAGGAAGTCAGGGAGAGTATGGCCAGCTTGGATAGTCCTGGAGAGTATGGCCAGCTTGCCATAGCCAGAGGAAAAATAACTTTCAAGGACTATATGATGGAATCTTACATGTTCCCCAACATCTCCAGGTCTTCCATTGCTTTCTATGGTGCCTCAGAATTACCAGGGAGGGGAGAGGAGGCAGGCACTTTGTACAAGTGAAGGCTGAATATCAGGAAGACCCAGGCTGCCTGCCTGGTGCAGCCCTACAGACCTGGGCTAACTGAACATCAGTGCAGCAATCCCCCCAAAACTGGCCACATGCAATCCTGCTGCACACACAACCTGGTCACCAGCGAGGTTGGTCTCTTGTCTATTGCCCAGAGTGCACCCCGGGGCATGGCTTGGAAGCTCTGACAATGGACACACAGCTCTCACTGAGGACACACCTATGTACCGGGACAGGGATGTCAGGATGTGCTTCCCATGCACCGTGGGGGCTCATCCTCTAGCCCCTTTTCTTCCTTCTCTCTGTGCTCTTGATGGATTCTCTAGTACCAGAAAGTAAGATCATCAATTCTCCATGTGACAGTAGTTGGAGGTAACGTCCTGTTCCAGCCCACTTTCTCTCCTCTCTGGGCAAAGGAGTACTAACTCTCTTGGGAGTTTTTTATATGGTGCATATTTAAGCCTCTTACCACACTAGCTGTTCAATTCTTTTTTTTTTTTTTTTAAGATTTATTTATTTATTTATACAGTCAGAAGCGCGGGAGGGTGAGAGAATTCACCAGAGCCAGCGCGGGGAACAGAACAGGCAGATTGAGGAAGCACAGTGCTGAGGAGAGCCTGCGCGCCATGCGGGACCCCCCCCCCCCCCGGGGGCCGCGGATGGAACCGGTGCTGCAGAGGCTGCAGGCAGCTTCGCAGCCCAGCGCTCAACCGCTGCACCACCGGGGAGGCCCAGATGTTCAATTCTTGACACATTTCTGTTTTCCTAAATCCCTCTTGGTGATGCATCGCTGGCCCCCAGCAAGGCTTGACCAATGCCAACAGCAGTGGGGCCGCTACTCCCTATTTTGAATAAAAGAATACAGCACTTCTAAGAATAAAGCTCCTGGTGCAAAGCAGATTTGTGGCCTGATGATGTGCTGCTGGTTCAACAAATACTGTTGAAGGGGTGTGTGTGTGCACGTGCATGCCCACGAGAACTAGACTGCAAAGGCCATAAAGTGCATAGGACTCAAGGACTTCCCAATGAGCAGAGGGACACCAGGAAACACACGGCCATGTGACAGTGCATAAGGACAGAAAGTACTCCACAGTGGAGAGGAGGAGGTGCCACACGCACCTGCTTAACAAGTGGAGGGCGGGGGAAAGGTGTGGGAATACTTCACAGAGAGGTGTCTGCCAGCAAGGTGTCCTGGAGGCAGCAAGACATGGAGGTGGGCGGCTGAATTTACTGTTCCCAGGCAGAAGGAACAGCAAGGGAGAAAGTTCAGAAGCACAAAGAGGCACAATGTCTGCTGCCTTCCCATTCATGCCACCACTTCCTCTCCATCATTTTTTTTTTTAAAGATCTACTTCTTTATGCATACAAGAGCTGAGGAACAGGCCAGAGATGCGGGTGGGCGAGAGGACCCACCAGAGACAAAGTGGGGAACAGAACAGGCAGACTAACTGAAAGACACTGCTGAGGGGAGCAGCGGGCGAGACAGGAGAGGTCTGCTGTGCCATGTGGGTACCTCCACAGTCGGGGATCGAACTCATGCTGCAGTGGCCGCGGATAGCCTCACAGTGCAGTGCCTAACCCCTTGTACCACCAGGGAGGCCCCCATCCTTATAAACTTGTTCTGATGTCCAATCAACTAAGAAGCCTGACTTTCCAATCTCCTAACCTCCAAGTTAGATTAGCTTAACATGTGACCCATGTCTGTAACCTCTGCATTTACCTAATGATATTACCATGATCTGACAGCTCCCAAATCCCCCACTGAACTGTCAGTTCTTCCAGTGAATCCACTTCATATCCTAGCATGGGAGCTGGCTGGAGTCCATGAACAGACAAGCAAGTTGGGTGAATGTGTGGAGCAACTGAGTGTATTCTGGTTGGAAAAGTTAGAGCTGATAATGGAAAGAGGGTGTGTGCAAAGTGATGAGGCTATTCTTGATACTGTGGACAATGGAGAGCACTGCATTACTCTTACACAGGGGAATGAGTTGAGGGAAAGGCAACATGGCAGACAGAAGATCAGCAGCTGAGCAAAACAAAAGAAACAAGGTAGGAAAGCTGGGTAGTGATCCAGGTGAGAGAAGAGAGGACATGAAGCAAGGTTGTGGCAATGAGAGAGTAAACAAAAAAAAAAAAAAAAAAAAAAGAGGAGAATGGATTAAAAAGATAAAGAAATAGAACTTGGTGGGCAATTAAGGGAAGGAAGCAAGAAGAACTTGGGGCATCGAGGCCAAGAGTATTGTCCTTGCCTGAAAAACACAATTGAGAAAGAGAAGGATTTTTATTTTATTTTGATGGCTGGAAGAACAAGATATTAAATTTAAATTTTTAAATCTTATTGATTTTTTAGGTAATGGGACTTCCAAAAGGCCAGAAGTATATGTTTGGAACTAGGCTGAAGATCTGCGGAGTCATTGAAGATAGAATCCAAACGGGTTTTCCCACCTTGCTCACATGCTACTGCATTAAAGAGCCATTAATGAGTTTAGGTTACTGCTCTGCTGTTACCACCCTGAAATTCTTCATGATTTTTGAGTTGTTAAGAAAGGAAGTGTCACATTTTTATTTTGCACTGGACTTCATAAATCATGTCCCCTGTCCTGCTCATCACAATGTTCTTTGCTTCTTGGACAGGGCCTGCCACACAAGGAACAGCTCAATGGGTAAGTAGAGACTTAGGAACCGACAAAGGGCATGGGAAAGTTGTGGTTGTTGGGGTTTGGTGTGTGGGGTTCCCTCTGAGAATGAATTCAGTAGTCTCCTATTCAAAAGTACCTGGTAAGTTTATCAAGGAAAAAAAGATGCCTGCATAGGCACAGACTGGCAAAGAGCTGTGTGGAACAGAGCAAGGGTCGTTCTTATTTTATGGATTTCTCTCTGATGGAACTATTCTGAGGAATTTATCCCTTTGGGGATAAATTAGTTGGTTTTCTGGAATGACTGATAGTCCTCTCTGCCCCTACATCTGATTAATAATCCTGTCTCCCTTTTCCCCCGGCCCCCGGATTTTGTCCTTACGAAACTGCCATCCTAACTTTTCTGCTCTAAGCTCCCATCATAATCAATAAGAAGAGGAGAATGGGGAGCAAGCAGTGTGGCAAAAATCAGATGAGAAATCAGGAAGAAGTGGGCTGGCAAGGACAGCTGAGGGTTTGCCCCCAAGGATGGGGGTCCTCTCTCTTGAAGCCTAGATCCTCTGAGCTGCCTGCTCTTCTCAAACAGTCTGTTTCCATGAGGACCCTCCATCTTCCAAAACTGAATATCAAGGTAGGGTCTTTGCTCAAGAATTGATGTATACTTCTATCCAGCCTTTGGATACAGCTTCAACTCCTTCAGAGAGCTTCTTTCTCCAGAAAGCACTGCTGGTGTTGTCAGATTACACCCCAAATGCAGGAAAACAACTCACAATAAAAATCCCCTACAACTGGCGAGAACCCAGTCACCAAAGGACCTGTTAATTCCCTGCTCTTCAGTTTTTCCCCCAGAGTCTCCCAGTCAGAAGAACAATCTAGTCAGAAAAGAGGTCCCATCACCCCAGGATATGTGATCAGACAGCCTGAAGTTGTAAATACTCCCCCAAAGTCCCTCTCTTTCTGTCATCACTGCCACTGAAGGAGGGGAGAAGTAGAAGTTCAGGTTGTAGAGTGTGATTCTTTTGTTTGGAAAAGAAAATACTCCACCTTGATTGGATTAAGTTCTTTCAATTCAGAAAGAGGGATTAGACAGGAGCTGCTAAAGCGTTGTTGTTCTTTTCCAGTAAGAGCTAAACCACAAGGAATGGTCTTAGACATCCACAGAGAAGACGTCAATTAAATGTGAAAAATTTCACAATAGCACAGATTTTGAGATGTTATCAGAGGAGACCAAATTGGAGAAAATTTGACCTGGAGAGGGGGAAGTCTTCGTACTCCATACAGCCCTCCCGCAGCTTGTGGGGGTGTATGTCTGAGTTATACATGAAAGCTTTGTTAGGCTGTCCCAACAGATACCAGCTGCACTTCCAAGAAACAGGCTTTGCAAATAAAGATCTGGGTTCAAAGTCCTCTGCCTAATTTTAAAAATAAATTTTCTGTTCTTGGATCCAAAGATTTTGTGGTATGATGTGAGCCCCAGTTTCAGCAGTCACAACTTCAACAAATAAAAGGGTGTTCCCAAAGGAGACTCTGTGAGGATGGAGCAAGACTCAGTTTGTAACTCCAAACCTGTGAGGAAAGTCTAGGTCTGTCGTCAACAGTTTCCACAAAAACGGCACAAAAACAGGCGAAGATTTTGCAACAGACAAGTCCTCTGTGAAGATACCAGGAATCTCCAAAGAATTGCTAAAACCAAATTTCTTTAGCTTAGAACACAGAACCTTCTACAAGGCAAATGGGGTTTCACTTTGGAATCTGGTCCCATTGGCAATCTGATTTCTCTTCTAGTAGGAAGATAAGGTGTGAGGTATGAAAGGACAGGTTCCAGGGAAGACAGAGTTCTATTGAACAATCAGATATTTATTTCAATGTATATTTCATTTATTCATTTATAAATCATATGATTATTTTTTGAACATCTGCTACATGCCAGACTGTTTACTAAATGTTTACTAAACTTTACTAAAGATCAAGAAACTCCTGGTAAAAGTAGTCCCAACAGCTTGACATAAATGTCTCAAACTAAAACACTTCCAGTGCCAGAAGTGTGAACCAGGGCGGGAAGGATATTGCCCTCCTGCTCACACAAGCTTCTTTATCAGTGTGTTCCCCATAGATGAGAACTTCCATTTTGGTTAGACTTTGATAGGTACTGAATCCCCACTGACTTGCATCTGATGATTGCAAGAGTTTTGCACAATACAGCTTCTGGCTCAGTAAACTCACAACTTCATTTCTTTTCCACCACCCCCATTCTTCTGGGACCAGTGTCACAGGACACTGCCACATGGCAATAATACCGCAGGCTCTGTGGCTTCACATCATCTTGCCAGTTGGGTGAAGGTAATGCTCTTGAGTCCATCTTCTACCCGTACGTCTGTGCATAATTTCAGTGCATGTGAAGCATCTCCAGGCTGCCAACGTGCAGAGTAGCAGGCCAGCAGTCTTCGCTGATCACAGTTAAAAATAGGTGACTTTTACAAATTTGCAAAACTAATTGACCATGTAAACACAATGTCAGACCCCTCCCAGGACTTTGGAAAGAAGACTCTGAAGCAGAAGCCTGAGCTTCAATTTTTATAAATTTATGTTGCTGTCACATTGGTTGATAACACCATATAAGTTTCAGGGGCACAGCACCACAATTCAACATTTATATAGTATGATCATGATCATCATCGAAAGCCTAGTTTCCTTCTGCTATCATACAATTAACCATTTTTACTTGTTTCATAACCCCCCAATCAAGGGTAATTTTTATCATGATAAATACATATCTAGGCAAAGTAATGAAACCAGGAACATATAACCATTACAAGCCTTTTGAATATTCTTGATTCATCTCTCTTTTCTCAGTAGAGTTCAAAGAGAGGCCATGTCAATTGCCTAGATTCTCAGCCCTGGAGGTTGCCTCAGGTCTTTGTCAAGAGTCATAAACATAGATTTTAATCAGCTCTTCATAAATGCCAATTAAAGATGTTGTGACGCTAAGCGTTTTCCTCTAATTTGAGATCTGACTTCCTCTCTTACTCCCCATATACCCCATGTGCGTACTTTTCTCTGTCAGACCCTTTTATACTGTCCATCCTCTATTTCTATTTCTCACTGTTTAATTCTCTGTAAAATCTCTCTTTCCTCCACCTCCCTCTCTCTCTCCCTCCCTCCTGCTCCCTTTTCTAGTTAAACCTCTCTGGCTGGAGCTGTCCTCTATTTCTGTATTTCTGCTGTTCCCTATCTCCTTTTCTCTCCTCTTTTCACTCTAGGTTTTCTGTTGCTACTGTCTGTGTGTCTTCATTATTTCAGTCCAACTCTCCTCACTACCCAACCCCCAGTCCTTCCTTGATGCCTTCCACTTCTTTCCAAACACAACACAACCTCTACTCCATGCTAACATATTTTTTTCCTATTTATTCATTAGTTATTTAAGAATTTGATCTTGGGTCATAGCCTCATTACATATTGCTTTTCCTTCCTGTGGCATGAAAGCTTTTGAGCAGCATTTCCCTTCAGGTTGCAGGGCAGGGAGTGAGGCCAGAAACAGTAGGAGCTGGTCCAGGGCTCTTGCTTTTGTTTTTGCAGGCGCTGCCCTGGAGGGGTAGGTGTCTTGGGACACCCTGTCTCCCAGGCACAAAAAAGCCAAGAAGAGAAGTGCATGTTAGTTGTTTGGGAATCTCTCTTAGCTCTTTGTGTTTTGTTTTTCTAGCTGGGTTTCTGTCTGACTTCCTACAGAAATCTCTACCTGTATGTTTGTCACCCACTTAACAAGTTCTACTGGAACACCCTATGTGGGCCAAAAAGAGCAAAACATAGTGGTGTCTTCAAAAAACAAATTCTCCAGGGTTTATGGGCCCAAAGCCGTCACCTATAAACAATCAGAGGATTTGTGCTAACTGTGGTCAAAGTCATAAAATATACAACGCTGACCATAAACATGTCAGGTCAGAGAAGGGAGAACACAGCACACATGAGTCTGAAGATCAAAGACTTGGTGAGAGGGCAAGACTGGCACTGCCCTTGAAGTGCGAGTGGGCTTGAAGCACATGGAGGAGGAAGGAGGGCATCTTAAAAGAGGAAAAACAGAAGCAAAGTGAGACCCTTAGGCAACTAGCCAGGGGTCAAGGAGAGGGAGGCCATGAAGTGACTGTGGCAGGAGATGCAAGGATGGGTAATGAGGGGCTTCACACAGTGGAAACTCACATGCTGGGGAAGGCACTGGGGTGTTCTCAATCTGCTCGGACTGGCTAGCCAAATACTACTGACTGCTGGCCCAAAAACAGAATTTTATTTTCTCATAGTTGTGGAGTCTGGAAGCCCAGAATCAAGGCCCAGCTGGGTTTGGTTTCTGGGGTGGGCTCTCTTGCTGATTTGTAGATGGCTGTGTTCTTCTGTGTCCCCATTTGGCAGAAAGAACATGAGCAGGCTCTCCCGTGTTATTTTCATGAGAACACTAATCCACTAATCCCATCAGAGCAGGCTCCACCCTTTTTACCTCAGCAACTATAGTTTCCATCAGGCACGCTCATGTTCTCTGTCTAACAACACTTGCTAGCAGGGAATTCAGCTACATATTGCAGAGACACACAGGCAATCTGTGAAAAATCCCTCATAGAGAAGAGCAGAGATCTCTGCTTACCCCCTGAAGATAACTGGCACCTGGCCTTCCCAAACACATATTGAACCTGGTGGTGAGCGTGGGGGTGAGCCTCAGCCTTCAGGGATGCCAGTATGGGCACAGTGGAACCCAGCCTCCTGAGTGAGCCTCAGCTCTAGCCATCCAGCTGTGCTTCCTGGATTCCTAACCCACAGAAGCTATAAGATAATAAGTGGTTATTGTACCAAGCTGTTAATAGTTATAGATAACTAAAGTGGGGTTTGTAGCCTGATAGGAGTGGAATTAAGAGAAAATGATTAGGTAGCTTGTTTCTCTTCAATCCTTCCCATTAGAACCACTAGAAAAACAAGACACACACAAACTCCAGAACTAGTGGACTAGCGAGTCCTTTTGAGGTCTGAGTTTCAGCTTTTCAGGGTCCCTGCTCCAAGTTTGTATATTTTAATTATTCCCTAGAGGTGATAGTTATTTCCTTACATTGCCACTTTCAAGATCGCTCCCAGTAACCTTTTTTATCTATCACCTTGCAAATCATTTTATACCTACCTCTAGATTCTTTAAATTAAATTGCCTCTGCTCAAACAACTGTTGCAATTTCTGTCTTCTGAATGGCCCCTAAGTGATAAACTTAACATCATATTTAACTTTTTTCTTTTATTTATTTATTCATTTAATTTATTACATTATTGTTCATTTTTAAATAGCATATTTAACTTTTAAGAAAACTTGCAAATCACAAGAAAAAAAAAGACAACAAAAAGCAGACCCAATATAGGTGGAGATTTAGAGTTATCAGACACAGACTTTAAAGTAGCAATGATTAACATCTTTGAAACAGGGCAAATTGGGGTAGGGGGGAAGGGATGACGTGATTAATAGGTCTTCACCCCCATCCCAAATAGATAGATGGAGAGAATCCAAACAGATTTATTCACCCAAAAAGTGAGGAAGTGGAGAATGAGAGAGAGAAAGAAAGAAGAGAAATTATTGACCAAAGAAATAGCAAGATGGCAGCTGTCCATTGAGCAGAGTTCAAGCGGGATCCTTGCTGCAAAGAGAGGGGCTGCCCCAGTGGACACTGAAGAAAGAGTGAGAGGTGGCCCCAAGTGAAAGAGTGCCAGCTTCCTGAGGACCAGACCCTCACACATGACAAAGAAGAGGGAAGTGGCAGCCCACAATCCATCTTTTTTAAGTCTCAGGTGGGGCCTCCCTGGTGGCGCAAGAAGTTAAGTCTCAGCACTGTGAAGCTGTGGGCAGCCACGGCAGTGTGAATTCGATCCCCAGTCAGGGAGCTACCCACACGGCACAGCAGACCTCTCCTGACTCGCCCACTGCTCTCCTCAGCAGTGTATTTCAGTAGATTTGCCTGTTCTGCACCCCACTCTGTCTCTGGTGTATCCTCTCATCCCCCTGCACCACTGGCCTACACCCCAGCTCCTGCATGCATAAATAAATAAATAAATCTTAAAAATAAAGTCTCAGGTGGCTCTATTCCATCCTTAGTTCTCAGCTGCACCTGCTCAGGACTTTAAGAGAGTGGAGTCCTGAGCTTCACCCACTGACTGGGTGATGTTGGGAAGTTTCTTCTCTAACACCTTCAAGAAGTTAATGGAGAATAGCTAATAACTAATAACAAGATGGAGAATATTAGCATTAACAGAACTTATATAATGATATATATATATATATATAGTAACTAAATATAATAGGCAAAGAAAGAAGCAATATTGGAAATAGTAAATACTGGTATAATTCCATCTAAAGGTTTTACTAAAAGGGGAGCAAGAAAATGGGGTGGTACTCAAGGAGGAGAGAATCAAGAAAGGGTATTCATTAAAATATTATACTGGGAGGTTCTACAAACGTTGTTGAGATAAATATGGTTCTCATACTTTAAAGTTTAGGAAGCACTAATACTGCAGTGTATAAAGACTCTTTAAACTTGGCCTTTTGGGCCTCCCTGGGTTGAGCGCAGTGCTGTGAAGCTGTCCGCAGCCTGTGCAGCGCGGGTTGGATTCCCGGGGCCAGGGAGATATCCACATGGCATGGCAGACATCTCCTGTCGTCCGCTGCTCCCCTCAGCAGTGTATTTCAGTATATTTCAGTGTATTTCAGTTCTGCTCCCCACTCTGTCGCCGGTGAATTCTCTCACCCTTCCGCGCCTCTGGCCTGTACCCCAGTTCTTGTATAAATAAATCTTGAAAAATAAAATAAAAATAAACTTGGCATTTCCCCTCTCCTGAGGACTTTCTCTCCTTCTTCTGCCTTCCCCCACTGAATCTGTTACTTCCCATGATGAATATGTTAATGAAACAGTTCTCAGTGAACAAGTGGGACGAATGAAAAATCTTAATGACATTCATTCATATCATCACCTCCTCTGGTAGAATATGTGGGTTGGGCCTCCCCTGTGGCGCAGCGGTTGAGCGCTGGGTTGCGAAGCTGCCCGCAGCCTCTGCAGCGCTGGTTCGATCCCCGGCTGCTCCCCGGCCACCAGAGGAGGGTCCCACATGGCGCGCAGACCTCTCCTGCCGCCCGCTGCTCCCCTCAGCAGTGTACTTCGGTCCTCCTGCCTGCTCTGCTCCCTGCTCTGGCTCTGGTGAATTCTCTCACCCTCCCACGCTTCTGACTGTACCCAGTGCTTGTATAAACAAACAAACAAACAAACAAATAAAACATGCCTCTATTAAAAAAAAAAGTTAAAAAAAAGAATATGTGGGTTACATGCAAGTGTCATATTATTTCCTATGCTTAGACAAAAATCAAAACATTTAAGAGATGAATAACCATTGTTCTATCTACTGCAACAGCCAGATATGCATCAATTGGGTGGTAATTTTATTATTCAAGAAAATTAGGTAATGCAAATTGTCATATCATAGTTATTTGGCAATCAAATTTATGAACAGAAGAATTTGTCTAAGTCATCATATGAGCAGTAGGTGTTTAGTAAATATTAAATGAGTGCATGAATAATGCCCAATGTTTGACTTATACAGAGGAAGTATATTTAGAAGTAGACCAGGGAAGGTGAGGGCTCACCCAGAAAATCAGGCAAAATTCCTTGGAAATAAAGAACTTCTTGGAATACTACAGACCATCAGGGTGATGGGGAAAAGGCATTCTGAGTCTGAATGCACCCTGTAGCACTCACTGCTCAGCTACCTGGAAGTCTTTTTTTACATCATTCTTCATTTTTGTACAATGTATGCATTTTCATGTCAGTTATAATCCCTGTGAAATTCCCACCACCCATTCACCCGTGTACCATCACCATAGTCCCTTGTGCTCTTCCCACCTGTTTTAACCCTGCTTCTCCCTCCCGCTCCGCCCCCCACCCCCACTGTAGAATGTCTCTGGTTTATAGTTGCCTATTGATTTTGATATCTACTTTATTATAATTCTTTCTTTCCTTCTCTCTCTCTCTCTCTTTTCCTGATCCCTTACAAAAAATATGGAATGCTTCACAAATTTGTGTGTCGTCCTTACACAGGGGCCATGCTAATCTTCTCTGTATCGTTCCAATTGTAGTATATGTGCTCAACCAAGACTCAAACACAAACTCTTCTCCCCTTACGGACAACCATTTGCAAGGCCCCTGTGCCCCTTGGAAATATGGTGAAGAAATGCCCTTGTTATAGAGCAGCCCCGATATTAAACGGGTTCCTGGCTGTGGGTCCTCACCCGCGCGCTTTAAAAGGGACTTATGAGTACTCCACTACAGACACACACAAAAAGGTTAATAAAAGGTTTATTTACAAGAGGAAAGGAAATAAGGAAAATGTACAACTCAGGGAGAAAATAGGGAAATAAAGTCTTCAATGCATCCTACCCGATCGACGACCTGGAAACCCAAAGTCACTCTCAGAGCTGACCGGACACTGCGAGCTGGTGGAGAGCCCAAAATGGGGTCCCCCAAAGCCCATGTGTCTGCCTTTTCTATCCACCTGGCTGCTTAACCCCACCCTCAGGTCCCAGCCACCTTCCCTTTGGTGGTGATGGGATTTGGAGTTCCCAGTGTCTTTGGCTTTGACCTGGGGTGGGGGTGGAGTCCACAAAGCCTATATGGAAATAGCTTTGGGACATCCTTTTCCCCCTAACACCCTGAGCTTGTGTGGATTTGCAAATAGAGCATGAGTGTGTATGTGTCCCCTTCTCTTGCTTTCGCTCCTGAATTAACTTAGTGGAGATTGTAGAAATGCTGATTTCTATATGTGCTGATATGCTAGGGATGGGGTATCAATAGCAACATGCGTGTTAATTGAACTAAAGAGACACAACAGCAGGTTCTCCCACTGCTGAAGAAGAGAACCTGGCACCAGGTGCCCAGCCATTACAGTGTGCTTGGGACTGACAGCATTCCCAGGATGTGGGACTTGGTGTTTGAGACCTGACTTTTGTGGACCTGTACAAGTTATATATTCATCTGAGAAGGCAGGGCCCTGAAAAAAATCATGGATTTCTGCCAAAGGTAGACTAGATGTGAGATAATACCTGGGCTGTTCATCTGGTGTTCAGACACCTGTTCTTATTGTTCTAAGACAGAGAAGATGCATTTACATTGAGGAATTCTCTCTCTCCTCCTTTCTCTAGTAAAATCAGTTTTTTCTAGTTGCCATTGAAAAGGTTCAAGTAGAAGTTTTTGGGCTCATCACCATCATAAAAACCATGACTTCAAAGACAAGAGCTGCATAGATATAATACATGGAAGGACATTCCTGCCACCCCAATACCAGGTTCTAAAGACTGAGAGGGACCTCATTGCTGTAATTTTTGCTCAGGTCACATGCTACTGCCCGCAGTCTCATCATGTGCCCTCTAAATGGTCAACAAATGAAAATGATTCAACCAGAACTGATGCCACAGATGGCAAAATTTAGATGTCCCTGGAAGAAAGACTTTCTCCACAAGGTGAAAATCAAGGCTTTTTGTGAGAATAGCTTGTATCAAATGTCAAAAATTTAAATATGCCCATAACACCCAGTTCTCTGATTAGTTCAATTTTCAAGAGCATTTAAGTTCCCATGATGTGTCCAGGTGTTGAAGAGGGAAAAAACTGCTGCCTTGCCAGCTCAAAGCCACCTTCACATGGTGCCCTATGTAGATTGCTTATAAGGTAGTCCTCACCTAGAAGAGAGAAGCTGTGCAAATAAATGGAGTTGCTGTTTAGACTGATGAAAAGTTCTGAAAACATAGTGGTGATGGCTGTAAAACATGACAAATATACTTAATGCCACTGAATGCTACACTTAAAATGGCTAAAATCGTGCATTTTATATCATGTGCATTTTATTATGATAATAATTAGTAAAAACAAATAGGGAAAGTCTTTGAACCCAACTAGCTCACAGTCCTGGGCAGTAAAGGGAACATAATAAGACAGGTGCAAAGTGTAAATACTCATATATACCCTAAGATTACAGAGGAGAGAGTACCTATTTGTCACAGTGAGTAGCTGGCTTATTTGCCCATAAATGTTGTGTGTTCAGTGAAGGGGGAGCTTTGCAAGAGGTGATGTCATACCTAGCCTTGAAGCATGGCTTAGAGTCATAGACTGGACAGCTCTGGGGATCCTCCAGAATAGCCTTAGAATATTCTAGAATATTCTGTCCTGGTCCAGAAGATGCTATCCTGGGAAGAGGGTGTGGATTTGGAGAATACCACACCAGCATGAAGCAAGGGCCTTTCTAAAACCAGGAGGCTGGCTGTTGGATGAGGAAAGTGGTGCATCTTGGGCGTGACTGGAGGTTATCAATTACTGGAGTGAATCACTGGAAGGCAACCTCGCAAGGGATGGAAGCCATGGAAAGGCAAGGAAAAAGCCTTTTAAATGAAACAATAATGGCACTTTGGTCCTGCCCATAGAAGCAGGATGAGGAAGGAAATGCCATCATTTAGAAAGTGCCACAATAATACACCCAAGTTGTGTCTAGACCTTGTGTCTCTAAGGTCTACCCCCTACAGAAGCTGACCAGGGGCAAATGTGAAAGAGAAAGCACCCCAGAAGTGCAAGATTAAAAGAGATCAAAAGAGGCATCTAAAAACTATCCAGGTGTGGCATCTGAGAAGGAAACACTGAAGACCAGGAGGGCAGATGTTACGGCAGCCAGGTCATCTTAAGGGTGGCGTTAGTCACAATACATGCTTTAGTTTTTTAAATTTCCTAAGAAAAGGTAAATAAATTGATACTGAAGGAACCCAGTCACCACATCATCAGACTTTTCTGTCCCTCCCTGACACACCTGCAGCCCCACACCCTTCTTGCCGTTGGGAAATTGGGGTTGTAAAACCAACTGATAGTCTGGTTCACAGGAACTCTGACTAGAAGACCTGCTTTCAGGAACAATTATAGATGGGGAGGGGGGAAGGGAGGCAGACAACAGCATTTCCTCCCCCTTTAGGTGAATCTTTGAGTCCAGTATCCATATTTTCCTAAACAAAAATAAAATCACATAGTGTGGTAAGCACACTTGGAGAGTAATAGGACGGAAGCTTTGAAATTAAAACTCACCTGATGATTCAGTTTACTTACCTCCCAATTATACTCAGGGGCTTCCAGAAACACCTGAAGATGTCAGTGCATGCAGAGTTCTAAGTGAGAGCACAATGCACTTCAGACTCCTTGAAATCCCATTGTCCTGTTCACTCTTCAGTGAAAGAAAGAATCATGGCAACTTAAAGTAGTCAGAAGAGACCCAGAAGATTGATTTTAAAAAGTTGGTTCCTCATGATAAGAAAAACATCCTGTATACACATTGCAAAGGGCTGCAGTAAATGCTGACGTTGGATTACTTAATACAACTCTAGAAGGGAGGAATTACTCTTTATTTATAGATGCTAAAAATGAGGCTCAGAGAGATCATTGAGATGTTGAGGTAACAATGTTAATGAATGAAAGCCCTACTTTTGAACCATATATTTTAAATACACAATTTTTGCTTTTTTTGTTTGTTTCTGATCATAAAAAGTAGATTTTTCAGAGAATTCAGAAGAAGATAAAGAAGAAAATAAGAAGCAGTCATCACTTAGAGCCTTCCAGAATTTTTCTTATGTTTTTTTAAATAAAACTGAAGTCACATTATACATATATTTTAAAATTAGATTTTTTTATATAGCAATATATCATGAGTGTTATCTCTTAGTCCAAGATAGGTATGCTGAGAGAGACATTCTGGACCATAAGCCAAATCTCAAAATATTCAGAAAAATTGAAATCTTAGAGAATATGTTCTCTGATCACATGGAATCAAACTAAAAATCAATGACAAAAATATAATAGGAAAATTTCAAATCACTGGAAACTAAATAGCGTGCTTTTAAATAATCCATGGGTCAGTTAGTTTATCTCAAAATAAATATGAAAGAAACACATTGACTGAATGAAAATGAAAACGTAATATATTGAAACTTGAAGGTAAGCTACAGCAGTGCTAAAAGGAAAATTTATAGTGCTAAATGAAAAATTAGAAAAAGCACCTCACATCAATAATCTAAGCTTCCACTTCAAGAACCCAGAGAAAGAAGAAAAACAAAAAGTCATAAGAAAGCAGAAATCAGGAAATAATAAAGACAGAAACCAAAATCAATGAAATTAAAAACAGAATATCAATGAAACAAAAGACTGCTTCTTTGACAAGATCAATAAAACTGATCTCCCGGCAAGAGACTTGTGATGGTGATATTGGCTGTGATATTACAGAAGAGTTTTGCAAAATATTACCATGGGGGAAAATGGGTAAAGGGTGTACTGAATTTGTCTGTATCATTTCTTAGAATCTCAAAATAAAACATTTAATTTTTTAAATCAAAAACAAAATTAAGATTACATTGTGCATTCATTTTATATTTGATATTTTAATAATATATCATGAATATTTTCTCAACATCTAAAATATTCTTATATGTATTTATTGATGTCTTTCAGTCTATTCATTTGTGAGTATAACATAATTATTCAATTATTCCTTTTTCCTAGGAATTGGATTATTTCAAATACTTTATTATTGTTAAAAAAATGGCTAGAAGAACATCTGGTGTCCATTTTTTAAGTAAATTTACTGAGATACAAATATCATACCATACAAGTCACCCATAAGAAGTGTACAATTTAATGTTTTTCAGTATCCTCACTGTGTTACGAAATCACCACATTCTAATTTTAGAATGTTTTTGTTCCCAATGACATAAACCCCATACATGTCAGCAATCAACTTCCATTCACCTCTACTTGCTTATCCAGCTCTAAGTAACCACTAATCTACTTTATATCTCTATCAATTTGCCTATACAGACAAATTCTGGACATTTGTATAAATGGAATCATAGTATATGTGGTCTTTTCACTGACTTCTTTCATTTAGCGTAGTGTTTTCAAGGTTCATTGTGTTGTAGTGTGTGTCAGGATTTCATTCCTTTTTATTGCCAAATAATATTCCATTGCATGGATGGATCACATTCTATTTACACATTCAGCCATTGAACTTTGAGTAAGTTTTTACTTTGGGGCTATTATATAAATGGTGCTACTATGAACATACACATGCAATTTGTGTGTGTGTG